GACCGTCTTTGAAATTCACTTATGCCCTGTGACTGAATGGTACTCGTGGCAATGTAGCCGAGTGGTTAGCATGTCAAGCTACCGTCCTGCACTGTCGTGGTTCGAATCCCGCTGAGGGTGTTGATAAGAACACAATGCGAGGTCGAAACTGCAGTCCACCCAGAATGAGAACAACTTTTGGGAAAGCAAGGTTATGTGAAATTCAATGGAAACGTCAGCTCAACTCATATTATTGTGGGAAAATTCTACTACCAGTCTTTCATCACCTTAGAAGAAATAGGGTGAAAACATCTCATTACAAGGATTCTTTAGTTGACATCACCGGAAGACGACGGCTGATAGCCGTTTTTATGCAGCTGTTTTGCTGTAATACGAAGTTCAATTTGATGCAGTCTACGAGACATCATTTTCCTCGTTTCGGATGAAAATGGGCAGAGCATCAGTTCGTCATGTGGCAAGCAGCATCATCATTCTTGTAAATTCCTCAAGAAAACGCTAAGTCAAGATGATTACCGGCTCTATTTTACATGCTATATATACTCGACTAAAAAGTAAAATATATAGATATAGATGGACATGGTATGATTTGATTAGTTTCCTTTCATGCTAATCAGATTACTCTGATTGTGTGTTTGCATTTGTGCATGCGTGTATTAACTTGTGTATACGTGAAATTCATTGTCGGCTAATAAATACAAACGAGACACACTGACTTAAAGATGAGAATGTCCCATATTGTCTAGTTGTGGATATAAGTAGCTTTTGATTCTCGCAATAATTCTTGAATAAGAGTTTACTCATCCAAGGCGGCTTGAGGTGATTTTAGGACTGATGCTTGAGTTTTCTAGCAATGAGACGAATAGCTTTTGCGATGCCATTGGGAGACAGGGCTAAGTGAAATCCATTGGCTTCATGAGGACTACTCAACTCATTATGGGAAAATTAATCTATCAGTTCTTAAAGGACTTTAAGTGATCTAGGCTTACTAAACGCTTATTCGAGATTGTGTAAGCCCGGAAGTATCTCTGATTGAGATGATAACTTGTAAACTTGTAGGAATATGAGTCAGGTTACGAAGCCGACAGTTACAACTTTCCATTTAATATACTCAGAGATTGTGTAATCTTGTACGCCTGACTGGGTTTATGGGCTCAATAGACCTGAATTTATTGTACTTCTGACAATGTCCATCATATGATGGACAAAAGCTTAGCCTATTTTTACTCGAAACGATGGAGGATGTCTCAAGAATTGTGTCAACATGAACGTCGCAGTAAAGCTAAACGGCTGCAGAACAACAAGAAGCATCCGTCGTCTTCAGAAAAAAAATTAACAGCGAATCTCTTCACCAGTCTTTTCTACATAAAATAGAAGTTTCCACAACAATGTTAGCCAATATATAGACTAAAAAAAGTAGATAATTCTCTATAGTTAATAGACTTTGACAGAGTTATCCTATGAGGAGATGATATCACGGTGCTTTGAGATATTTATGAAGCACACTAACTTAAGGAGCTAGCTCAATAATGGGTAATAATTCCTATATACGTTGTGACCATCGGGCACCAGTTTCAATTAAGGAAGCTATCCGTATTCTTGTGTCTAGGGTTTCCTGTGATTCTCAAATGGTTAGACTTCGAGAAAACTAGCATGCCAACTGATTTGCTACTGATTTTAGAAATTAGCGGAAGTGGTTGCGGTTATTCATACAAAACGAAGAGCTTGAACTATATGCACCAGAGATCAGTGAAGAGGCTAAGTCTTAAATATGTACATAATCACCTACTTTCACAATTCTTGGACTTCATTGAAAGTCTGTAAAGTATCGCCAAATGCAGAAACTCTTCGGGTGCATCTAGAATCCATGAGCTGTCAGCCTCATATGTTGTTTGGCCAGCATTACTTGTTGCCTGATGGGGTGATGACAACACTGGAAGATAAAGATATGGTGATTGTCCAAGGGCCTGTTTGAACTGTCCTAGCCTGTTGAATAGACGACGTAACTTGTCAAAATTGATCATTTGAAGGCTATGATTTCTATATGGCGTCGAAACGACCTCTGGCTGATAGGCAACCTGATGGGGATCCAGCACATCCACTGATTTGCGAGGGCTCGAAACCGCGGTAGGGGCAGATGAGCTCGCAGTAGGGGAGGAAGAGGTGGAGATGAAGGTCGAATGAACTCCGGTCTTGTTAAGACGATATGGTTCTTCATTCCAGTCTGGAATTTCAGCTCTATTAATAAAACTTAAGCAATCCTTCTCTTGTCTGTCCCTGGCTCCTCCAATCGCTCCGTGATGAAAAAAGCTGTTTTTCCTTTCCGTAAAACTTATTGAGCCCGCTCCCCTAAAGTATACATCACCCTTGCTGTTTTCAGGCCTTCTGGATCGAACGCTGTGATAGCTATCGTCATTCTCTTCTTTTTGGATATGACCATTATAGTCCTCGAAGTGCCTCTCCGGAAGAAATGACTTTTCAGACCATTTGGGCGAAAGTTCAACTGTCGTCAACGTTGAATGCCATTGAGTGATTGCATCAAATGATAAAGCTTGGATGGATTCGGATGATACAGCCGAAATATCCACATTTTCCGGTACATCAGGAGGGGCACCCTCGGAAATAAGCCAAGTGAGCTGAAGATAATACCCATACATGTACATAAAGGAGAAAGAGAACAAAGATGAAGACAATTGTTAGCTCAGAATAGCGCCAAAATGGAGAGACACGGCATAGCATCTGTATTGATCGCCTTAGTAATCCTAGATGGTAAACTTGGCTAAACTGACTCATTCTTTATAACCGTTATTAATAACACTAGGTCGTCCAACACAATTAGAGAACAGATAATAGTCCAGTTACTCCCATGATGACCTGCGCAAACTTTGCAATGTCTTGCTACTCAAAAAGTTTTCTCGTCCAGAATGAAAAGCTGATTCAACCTCGCCGAGGTCTTATCAACGCACCCAAATGGTTCTTAAAGCAGACCCCTTTGAGGGTATTGCTGAGACCTGCACAATGTTAAAACTGCCGTCAATTCAATGGCACTAAAAGAGTATTATTATTCCTGGAATCTTTTGGATTATTGCAAAGCCTACTCATACAAAATATAAGTAATATCATTAATTGTAGTGGCAAATACATATGTGTCTAAGTGTCAATCTCACATTGTACGTAATATATGCGAAGAAAAGTTGGGTTTCGAGGATATAGACCATTGTGACAATGAACTGAATCGGCATAAAATAATATTTCTTTAGAATAATTCTCCTCTAGGCTTGATTGAAAATAACATTAGATTAATAAAGAATAGCTTTTTGAATGGTGAATACGTAAGGAAAGCTCTTCTCATGTTTTGTCTTTACCTTCGTGTGTTCTCTCTAGAAGGAGAGGTGAGCAAGTAAGGAAGTGGGGGATAAAAACGGTCTTCAGGGAAACTACGACACTTTTTTCAGTTATGCCCACTTTTAGAGAGAAAGTTTACCCATTATCCAGATTGGGTTGCTACAAAATAATGTGTTTATGTGGTTGCTTTTGTGTTGGAGAGACTTGTCGTCCCATTCGACAAAGCGTGGCTAAGCACAAAAGCGCCTACAAAGCCTGTTGGGTTCAAAATTTGGAGCTTGCTGAGCACAGGCCAGAAGCGGGACACGAGATTGAATGTTCTCAAACTTGTCATTTTGCTGATTATGGTATGTTTGCGGCTAAACGTAAAATTAGAGAATCCATGGAAATAAACCGAATAGGAAATACCTTGAATGTAATGAATAACGGCAAGAAGATAACTAGAAATTACTTGTGCTTAATTAATAGACTGAAGGATAGAGAAGTAGTTGAGCCGCCTGCAAAAAGGAGGCGACGCAACTAGTCTTATCTTGTTGCGGTTCTAATGATAGTCGATTTTCTGTACTTTAAACTCACTTTTTCTCTCTCGCATTGAGACCAAAAACAAAAAATAGGCTCATCAACAAAACCAGACGTGTGCCCAACCTTGCGCAATCGGTGTGATGGGTGTAACTTAAATGAAGAAAGGGGGAAATAGGTGTGATCAAACCTTGATGGCCAAAAACAGACGTTCCTTTTTGCTGTCCTAATTACTCTGAGTCATTACTGCGGGTTTCGTGCATAAGCGAACACAAACAGACACATACACATACAGAGACAGACACAGTCACATGCATCGAAGTTGAAATATGACCGTAACTAATCAGGTCACTTTATACTTGATCAAATAGGCCAG